ATTATGGTCTAGTAATTGAGGATAGTTATAGTAAGGTGGTGGAGAGTGCGTCGCTCGCTTGTCTACGTCGCTCGCTTATCATGCACGTTAAGTCTTTTTCTTATCCCTTTTCCTCCTTCTTTAATTAATTTTATAGTCTATCCTTTTATTAAGGAAAAAAAACGTTTAGATACCGAAAAGCAAGCTACTTTAAATAAGTTTCTTTATTTCGAAGCGTAACCGCGTGCCTTTAAAGTTCGAGCCTTTACTACTTTCCGTTATAAATCCCGGCTCTTTAAAGAGGAAGAAAAAGAGTTTTCCGCGCGGATTGCTACCCTATATAGCCCGCCGGTAGCGGATACTTTCGTTATTCCTTCCGACTTTTCCTTTTTACATCTTTCTTTAAACTTTAAATAACTTTCCGACTTTCTTTTAGACCTTAGTACGGCTAGTCCTTCCTTCTTAACTCTATAAAGTACCGCCGGTAATATACCTTCCACTTCCTAAAGTAATTAAGACGCGTAATACTACTTATACCTAAGTCCTTTTATACCTTTTAACCTCGTAGTATAGTAGTATATAGTAGGTCGGCTATTATATTAAAAGTATAGGTTTTGATCCCCATTAAGCCTCTTTTGAATTTAGAAAACCCCGATAGGGTTTTCTAAACTTGTATCTTATTTTACTATTTATTAATAGTAATTCATTAACCCTTTTTTTACGATAGTGGAGTCGTATAATATTAATTAAATTTAGATGCCTTTATATTTATTAATGTTAGCTGGTGAGACCTGATCGGCCTATAATATAGAGCCTATATAGGGTTGCTGTAAAATACAGCAGTGCGTAAGCGGAAGCGGGAGGATACGACGGCAGTGCCGAAGGAAAGTAAAGCACTGTAATATAGTAAGGTATAAGGAATAAAAATTGCTTTTATTGCCCTTGGCCTTGGCCTTTAGCCTTAGCCTTAAACTTTTGCCTTTAAGGAAAGAAAGAGAACTATTCTATAGGAGAGAGGAGAGGTTTATATATAGGCTTTCGTAGGCCTACTGTGGGTCCTGTAGGCCCTAGAAGCCCCTATACTACTTTGGGGTATTTAGTGGGCTTAGGTAAGTTTAGTGTAGACTTACGGAAATCCATAGAACCTTCGGTAGCAGAGGTGCCCTGTAAATTACATTATTGTAGCAATTTACTACGTAAGCCTGTAGCTACTTTGAAAGGTTCTAGTATCTATTAACTAAGCCTTAGGCTATATGTTACGCCCCAAGTATAATAACTCCGTAAAGGAACTACTGGGTGGTTCCCGAGGTGCTGGGACACTTTAGCTAATTATTGGGCCAGGGATAGAAAGACCTATAAAGTCCCTATATAACTAATTAGGAGGTGCTTAGTCTGATTAGTAGCTAAGACCACTGAGCACACTAAGCACATCGATTATAAAAGATTGCTTAGTTTGCTTAGCCGCTAAGATTATTAAACACACTAAGTAAGGTATAAAGATACTTTAGAAACATATGTAGATAGCTGTATATAAATAGGAGGGAGCGCCTAGCGTTCTCCGTGTCGAGGAATTTAACTCCTTACGCAAGTAATTAAGTTTATTTATCTATAATTTACTCTTAAGTAGTTTTTTATAGAACGATATATTGTTAATAGTAAACCCCTTATTTAAAACGCTTGTCACAACCTTCGATTATCCTATTATATTTACTTCTAGCGTACTGCCTTGCAATCTATATCTATTCCCGGTACAGGTTATAACACCGTGCTACCTCTTTTCTATTAGTTATTCTTTTCGGGTATTTATATTATATTCGTAATACTTAGATCGATCCTCGATCCTATTAATCCTATTCTGGTTAGTCTTTATTCCTATACTAATAATTAGTCCGTGGTGCGCCCGCGCCTTACCTAGAAAAGGCTGTATAATATCTCGGTGGATTATACGGCACAATATTAGCCTCTTCTTAGTTTGGAAGCAAAGAAATTACATTACTTCCTCAGACTAGTTAATTAAATAGTGAAGCAGCGCTATTAGTAAATAAAGCGACGGCTTATACTAAACTAGCGTTATCCTATTCCTCGAGCGCAATATTGCGGCCCTAGTTAAAAAGTTATTTATTTAGTTCGGGGTATTAACTTCTAGCAAAAGCTAGTCTAAGTTGTATGCGGTATCGCTAATAAGAGGTATTTCCCGATTTCTTAAGTTCCTACTTGTGTAACGCATTTCGACATTTAACCCCAAACTCGAAACACTCGAAGCTTATATATAAAGTCGCTACTGCTACAGATGTTACACTAATAGTAATCGCTGCCGTCTGCGATACATAATATACAAATGTCACACCAAGCCAACGACTAACTAAACGGGACTGATCTGCTTTCCATATATGTATCTGCCGAGTTAACTTGCCAGTCAACAACCTCTTCGGCATAGCGGGAAAAGAGCTAAATAAATTAATAACTACTACCCTTCCCTACCTATTACATTAATATCCGACGAATAACATCCCTAAAGTCAATGCCAGTAACATCCCTAGTAAGAATTCTATAACTTTATTATGCCCATTTCTTAAAGCTCCGAATAACGGCGTTATATCGTAGTGGTCTTTGGTGTGTAGCTCCGATAGAAACTTAGTGAAATAGAATTGTACTAACATATAATGACCGTGCCGTGTAGCATAAAATAATACCGCCCGGCCATCGTCGTCCTTTCTTATAGTATTAGCTTTATAGTAATGTAGAAGAAGCTTAACTACGTCGGTATATCCTTTACTAGAGCTAAATAAATAAGTAATACTATATATTTTTATCGAGAGCTGTAGTATCGGTACCCCTGTCCAGCAAAAGTTAAACAATATTTCGGTGGTCTCCCTCTAAAGCAGCACGAAGAGCGTTGCGGTACCAGGTACCCTGTACGTTGACATCGGCACCCCTGTCCAGCAAAAGTTAAACAATATCTCGGTGGCCTCCATTTACAGCAGCGTAAAGAGCATTGCCGTAATAGCCGCCCTGTGCGTTGACATCGGCACCTCTGTCCAGCAAAAGTTGAATAATATTTCGGTGGCCTCCATTTACAGCAGCGTAAAGAGTATTGTCGTAAAGGCCGCCCTGTATGTTGACATCGGCACCCCTGTCCAGCAAAAGTTGAACAATATCTCGGTGGTCTCCATTTGCAGTAGCCTGGAGAGCGTTACCGTAAAGGCCGCCCTGCGCGTTAATATCGGCGTCTCCCTTTATTAAGGCTCTTGAGACTGCTGCAAGTCTACCCAGGCAAGTATAATAGAGTCTCAATTCTTGTCGAGAACCCGGTACTCTGGTCAGCATATTATCCGCCTGGTACAGCTAAACCCACCGCTAAAAAGTCGACTCGTCCTATAAAAACTTAATACTTATTTAAATAACGTCTTTTAATCTTTCCGCTAAAGCGGTATAGTCCATCCAATACTTCGCTACATATTACGCTATCGCAAATCTCTTTTTAATTTCCCACCATCTACCCTCAATATCCGTAAGGTATGTTAAACAAGTCCTGGTAATAATAATGCTAGTAAAATGTAGACTAAACTACCCTTCCTTTAGAAAATACTCTTTAACTGAGAAATGGGTAAGGTAGAGCTCTTTTTTAGCCCCGTTATAAGCTAAAACATTAATAACTAATATTAGACCGGGGCAGTACTATAGAATATCGTTATCGCGAAAAAGCTTGCGCTTTAGGTCGAAGCCTCGTAGCTCCTTATCCGTCTATATAGCTATTACCTCTACAGCCTTATATAGCGTTAACGGCCGTTTATTATAGATAAAGAATTGTAGGAGACGTATGGTATCCTTCTTAAGGTTTGTTAGTATATTTTAAAGTATACGCTAATATATCTCATTGAGATCCCGGGGCAAAGTCTTAAGAGCTATTTCGATATCCCTAAGACTTATATATTTTGCAAGGCTAGCCAATTAATATACTACCCATCTAAACCTATACTAAATATTAGATATTCGTTTAGCGATATAAATAGCCGGGGAGGAAATCTATATCCCGTTAGCCCTATCTCCGACTTTATTTTAAATCCGTTCGAGAAAATTTTAAGATAATTCTTTTTCTAAGAAATCCGGACTCTACTTAAGCTTTACTATAATATAGGAGCGTATATCGGCGTTAATAACCTTTTTATTAAGTTATAAATAATTATTTTTGCTTATCCAACCGGGAATGCGTCTTAGAAACTTTTTATTTGGCCGGCTAGTAGCGATTATACGAATATAGCTTAGGTCGGGCGCTTTAAAGAATTCTATTATCCACTAGAGTAATTCCCCTATCTCTATATATTTATTTAGTATATTTATAACTAAATAAGTATTTTTCGAATCCTTTATTATTGTATAGAGTGTTTTTATTAAACTTAAATTATTTAACTATCTTTAGTAATCGAAGTGGGATTAGTATAGGCTATTAAGTTCCTTAGAACTAGATCCTAATTTGTAGAGTTAAAAAATAAGAGAGCGTAATACGCCGTCCACTTTCTATTTCGAAGTGTCGTTAAAATCGAAGTAGAATTGCAGGACTATATAATCGTTCCTTTTCTGGAGATGATCTACTATCGTCGCACTAAAGATAGTTTTACTATATCCTGCTAAGCCGTAAAGCTATAGATAATGTGATCCACACTTCTACTTATTAAAGGTAGGGCTATCGAGGAATTATAGCCCAGACCCTTCGTACTATTTTCTTTTCGCTTTATTAAAGTTAGTCGATATATCGGGTGGGCGGAGCTATCTCTTAACTTCAGTAAGGTAATAATTATATTTTATAGTTTCGACCTTAGTTTTAATTTTATTTACCGTCTAGTATAGGTATCCTAGGCCCTCTTAGACTGCCCATAGTTAAATAATATTCTATAATTAAAGTTATATTACTAACGTAAATCAATTACTTCGCTAATCCTCCTCTCTTCTTTAACTTTATTAGACGGGATTTAATATAAAAGATCCTTCGTATATGCCGCTACTATTATTACCGTATATCTTTACCAATCCTTATTCTTATGCGAGTCGGAGTAATCGTATATCCCGCGGATCACTAAGCACGGGAAATAATTTATTAAACCGGCCGCCTCCATCTCGAAGCAAAGAACCCCCTTTTTATTTATTAATTTATCCCGGATACATATATCCTTCATTAATTGGTTTCTACTAGTAATTAAACCGTAATAAATTGCGGGATTATCGTCCTCTTTATTTCGTTTATTTCGGACCACTAAGTTAGTTTCGTTATTACCGTAGGTGATCTCGCAGCTTTCAGACGAGTGCGAAGGATGTATAACGTCGGATTTATATAATCTATCGCTTGTTAGAGTAGGTTTTCTGTAGTTTTTCCGCTTTTTAATCTTCTTCAATGTTATTTCTATATCGTCCAGAAGCTGGTGGCCCTTCATATCGTATGTGCCTTTGAGCGTGCTTATAGCCGCCCGCAGTACCGTGGGTGGTTGGTCCAAGAATACAGTCTTTTGGAACGTCTGATCCTGAATGGTTTTGCTAAAGTCGTACTAGAATACACCGCCTTTCCCGCCACCGGGACTGCTGACTACTATATCCCCGAGTCGGATATCACGCTTCAGACTAGGCGTATTACCTCCGATGCCGACCATTAACCTAATACGTACGTTCGGAAAGCTGTGAAGCATGTCTCGGGCTATTGCCGCCGCGGACGTTGTGCTATATTCTGTATTAGGTAGGACGGTAATGACGATATTGTGACTGCTGATCTTGCCCAAGATATAGCTACTGTTGTCGTGCTGGGCGACTGCTTCAGGGCCGCCGTATTCTTCATCGAGGAAGGCTCGGGCTGCTACAGATTCCGTAGTTAGAGCGTAAATCCAGCCGACTGTATACTCCGAATTCGCTCCTTGTTGAGAGATATCCGAGGTCTCTAAACCATTAGAAACTATTTTCCCCTTTTTTCTACTTTCGGCCGTAGTATTGCCAATGTTTGCCGTACTTAATAGTCGCTTCGACATCATCAAAGGTAGTTCTGAAATGGCAGTTCCGATATAGAGTTGAGTATGGCGCTCTGAGGTAGAGTATAGCTCGTCGTCAGAAATATTGGGAGCGGGGATGATGGAAGATAAAATAATGAGAGCACACAGCAATTCAGCTTCTAAGCTTGATTAAGCGGGGTTGGCACATTTCTACAGCGAAGCCACCGTTGGTGATTGGTCGCGATGTCGGGTGGTCCTCCAATTGGAACCCGATTAGGTCCAACCGTCGTTGCCTAACCGCTTAGGTTTTGATATAGCTTACGTCGAAACTGGAAGCTCGAGCCGAAAGTTTCTTTGACCTTCTTATAATTATAGGGGAAGTTCCTTCCGATCCGCCTTGCTTAGCGCAGGTAAAAAAGGGGGTTATTGGCGCTCCTAACCTGTCTGCTATCTAATGCGGTTATGAATAAAAGTAAAACCTAATGTCATGTATCGTTGCGTAAGCTAACTTTACGTAACTTGCGTAAAAAAAAAACCTATGTGGACCTTGTAACTAATCTTATCGTAACCTGCTTTGTTTTCGGCTGTAGTTGTCTATATTTTACTGCTCTTGTTAAAAAATTGAATTACCGGCTAGAGAAAGGCAGACCCTAACCCTCTACTTGCGAACCTGCCTTAGTTGGCGAAACAACTGCCTGAGTGAGCACAGACCAACCAACTAATGCCACGAAATGTTTCATTGGTGCTAAATTGGTCAGGGAGACCCACTGTTAAGGAATTAATATCTTGGCAGTGGGACTCGGCCAGCCACCTGCACCTTTCTCCCAAAGACAACCAACCAATTAACTAAGTTTGAACCTCATACCGTTGTTTGACACCTATCACAAGCAATTATCGAGGCGATTAGCACGAGTCCCTGTGGGCTTGATGTGATGCTGACCCTTAAAGGCGGTTTCGCTGCCCAGATCATTAACCCGGCACGTTGGGCATTTGATGGGGTTGGCGCCTTCACGGCTGGCGCCAGTTGCGCATGTTCGAAACATCGTTATTGGCGGTGGTACAAACGTGCACGGACATCCAAGCGTCATCCAGTCGTTCAGCTGAATCCTCAGTAAAACGCATCCCTTCCGATAGTACATATAATCATGATTTCGGCTTTGTATGCCCAGACATGCAAAGAGTTATGCTTCATGATCATTCCGCTAAAGAGCCTGGAAATACGAGTCCGAGGTAGCTACTTCGCCAAGTACCAAAGTACCTATATTTTTACCGCCCGTTTTATTTTCGATTTCTATTTCCTGTCTGCGCTTGGATGCTTGATGTTCATTGGAAGGCAGAGGGGAGTAAATGTAGAAGATAGGGAAAGAAATATTGCTCAGTTTTTGGCAGTATATCTTCCAAAACAGAACCCAATTTCCCTGGAAATGACAGTCTGGATGGACATTTATATCCGGGGCAATAGTGTGACGGCGGAGAAAGAGTTCGTCTCACGTCCCGCCACTGCGTCCGAGCCAATTGTGGTCGCCTTTAAGAAGCTACTGGCCATCGTGGAACGGAATTCAACAGTTTACATGGCATATGGAATTTTCGAGACGGAAGAAGATGAGGATGAGGTGTACTTCGATGCTGTGACCAGACCTGATCAGGGCGTTGAGCTCGAGGCTCAAGACTAGGTGCATACCGTCCTCACTGTCTACCTTATCCTCGCCAGTGCTTCCAGACCCATCTTCAGTCCTCATCAGTGCCATGAGCATCAGCTAACAAAACAAAAAACACCTCGTCCTTCAAATTCTTCCCTTCGGAGGGATCCACAAATAGCCCACACAATGGAGCCGATGGGCCACACACATCTGGTGCGTGAGGCAACGGACCAGCCAGGTCAGCCGGCAGGTCAGTAAAGACTTCGTTACCCAAACGAACCTCAACAAACTCACACTCCGACTCAAGTCTGAGTAAGAAGAATGTCCATACGCTCGCGAGCAGGCTCGGGTACCACGACACTGGAGTCACCCAGTTTGTTCGTCAAGAACTCATGCATGGCGCCAATACCTTCCCCTTCGCCGCGCCGCCCGACCTCAGCAATAGCACTGGGTCCATCAACCAGTGTCTCAACAGCTTCAGCAACAACGTACGAGGTGGTCAGGGATGCGCTCTTGAACGCATGCCCGCAACCTCATTCGTCCCAAACGTGGTGCTTACGCTTCAGTGACTTGGCGCACATAACCGCGTGGTGCATCCAGTTCCTAATCCCATGGACACCGTACCGCTCCGGTTTAAGAAAAAGGCAGTCCCCTCAGCGCCTGCCGTTGGTGATGGAAATGGAAAGGACGTGACAGTGGCCGGGGGGCAGGGGCGGGGCGAGGCTGCTGATGCGGGGCGAGCCAACACGGCGAAAGTAAAGCTGGCAGTCGGCCGTCCGGGTCTTGGACGAGATAAGCCCCCTTAACAAATGTCTGGTCACGCGAGATGAAGAGGTAGGTGAGGTACCAGATGATGCAGGAGACTTGTATCACGCTTTCAGGAGAGTGCCACAATTTGCGGGCGAAGCCGAAGATTTCGGTGGCTGATAGGGGGCTTGTCATGATGGCCCGTAGGTCTTGGGCGCCTTGGGCGGATGGCGGCCTGGATATCGGGTGTCTAGCAAGCGAGTTCGGCTTGGGTGAGATGTATCCCCGTACGATCTTCTTTCTTGGGTCCTTGATCTTTGAAGCATGTCTGCTGGTGGCTATGGTCTTCCATATTTTTACTAGAAGCAGACGCACTGCTGGAACCTGTTGTAAAGTTAACGCGGGCATTCAACCCAGCACGAGGGGAGCCGAGTCAGGCTCCATAAGACATGGTCATTGGGCTTTAAGCGCCACCTCGAACGCAGAGACTGCTGCTTTCGTCACATGACAGCGAGCCTTATGCCTTGAAGCTCTTCAGATAGTTCATGCTCATCCAGTGAACGTGGGTGTCTCCACTGGCTTTGCAGCCCTAAAGATTGCATTATCAACCACCACGCGGATAGTGGGCTTGGCATGTCATATGCGTTTCACTATCCATCTTATTTCTCATCAAGTGCTTACCTTCCAGCGGCCTATCCCCAATATGTTGTCTATCGCACAACGTTGACATGAAAGCCCTGAGTTGCCACAAATATACCATAGCACCATAGTCATCGCCACCCGCAGAGCTAGGTACCGAAATAAGATGCCTAGAGCTTGGCGCCACCTTCATCATCATCATCCTCCTCCTCCTTACGAGCGCGAGTGACACTCAACTGACCCATCAATCTGCTGACCTCCTCCACAGACTCTCCCTCCATGCACTCCCCCTGGTCACCATCAGTCTCATCCTCCACCTCCTCCACCTCCTCCAACACCAACCTCCCCCGCCTACCACGACCTTGAACACTCCCACTTCCACTACCCACACTCCCATGCAGGCCAGCCTGCGCTTGCATCAACCTCCCCTCCGTCAAACCACCCCTCACGCTCCCCGCAGCTGTGACCGCAGACCCAAACGGATTCGAAGGCGTAGCCCGACTATCATGTCTACTCCCCCTCCAACCCCTCCTCTCCACCAACACCCCCTTCACCTCCTTTTTCAGCGTCTTGATCATCTCCTCAATCACATTCTTCCTCTCCCTCACCAACATTTCCACTGCCCCATTCACCATCGACCCCTGGATGATATCCGCCACCCTCCACTTATGATACAAATTGCCGTGTCCCTTTCTCCTATCCACCTTGACGGGAGAAGCCTCAAAGTAAATGTCGCACAGCATGCAAGTGGGCTTGGAACAGCCGATGTACCTCCCGAATTTATCCTCCATGAAGAAATCCCAATGTGCATCCTCCCTGCCAGGGGAAGGACAAAGGGTCTCCCTGCGGAGGTTGGACAAGAGTGTTACTTCTGCATGGACGGTGGTGATGCACTTGGGGTCTTTGATGGAATTTTTGAGGCCGGCGTCGAAATCCCTGGCTTGGAGCTGGGGGGAAAAGAAGTCGTAAGCGGCGTGAACTTCAACGTCGGGGGTGAGGCGGTTGAGGAGGTCTTTGCCTGTGCACATTCTTTCCTTGATCTGGAGGGGGCTGGGGAGCTTAGCTGGGGAGGGGTATGGGATGACTTCGGGGGACTCGAAGAGGTCGGGCCATTTTCCGCGGGGGGACAAGAAAGACGCGGGATGGCGAGGGGTGTAGAAGTGGAGGGCGGCGGAGGGCGTGGCGCGTTTCGATCCAAGGGGAAGGGGGGCTGTCCTTTTTTGGGGACGAGTTCGAGACGTTTTCCGAGGAGGGGGCTTTGAGGCGGAGGAAGGAGGCAAAGGAGGAGGTGTAGGATTTTTTGAGGGCCATGAGGAGGCGGTAGGTTTCTTGGGTGACTGTTGAGGTGAGATGTTAGTTGCGGACAGACTTGGGACGAAGATAACATTGGGACTTGGCATGGCACATACAGGACAGGAGATCATGGGGCCAAGAGGCCACCGCTGCCTCGGCAATCGGAAGTAGCTCCCGCAGGCGTCCTGCCATTGTGGCTGGTTTGTGTCAGCTTTAACTCCCATCGATAGATTTCCAGGTGCCAGTAACTTACCCTCAGCGCCAGAGTCCTTGGCGCAGCTCTCTAGGCAAAGTCCAATATTGTCAACCAATGTTCTGAGGTACTTGTACAGGCGCCACCGACAGTACACGATGACCTTCTTCAACAGACTGTCCGAGACAGCCTTGACCTTGGCTTCGTCTTCAAGATCTTGCCCTTTCATGCTTCCAAGTACTTTCAAGATCTCGTCAGACAAAAACTCCTTGACCCTGGCCATCTGTGTCTTGGTGCGACTATTAGAGGCAATCCAGTATTCCACCTGACCAGGTTGGACAATCATGGCGCTCGTGACGGTGTCTCCCCCATGCTTAGTATCGCAAATTTGCGCAATCTTGTTGACGAAGCACCTATACAGGGCGCGATCTTCGTCGGGGGTGGTAACAATAGAGTCATCGTCCGACGTATGGGGGTTCGACACATGGGGAAGTGCATCCTTCAGGGCACAGAAGAGGTGAATGGCTCCATAAAGCCGCTTTGCCTGGCTGGGAGCTAGCGGGACGGGTGTGGAGGTTTGAGCGGGGAGTGTTGCGCTGGGCATGTTGAGGGAATGTTTGGACGGAATGAAGGGGGCCAGAAGATAATTCAGTGAAGGATTTGAGATGTTTCGATGGGAAACTAGATTAAGAACCGTGATCTGGTTAGTAGAGCACACGAAACGAGAATGACGGGAGAAGCAACTTGAAATTTATAATCATCCCACCATCTCAGCTAGGGACCTGGTGATGTCGTCTGTCGTCTTCGCATTGTCCGTATGCCCCTCTCCCCTCTATGCCTCCTTGGCGGGAGGATACAGGAAATCTGCCTCGAACAGACTTGGGTCGCAACCTGGGCCAACTCACTGGTCAGTGATTGGAGGATTGGCTGGTTGGGTGACCACATCGCTCGACCCATCACCAACCAAAGGTTTCAAGGCGTCCATCGGTAACAAACAGAACGAAGAGTCGAGAAATGACGGTCAGTTTTGTTCTTTGAGATTCTGGCAGGAAAGCAGAAGTTTGTGGGCGAGCTGTGGCAGAATGATTGACTTGTGGGGGGTCGGTCCAATGATAACAGTTCGACTGGGTCCAGTTGGCGTTCCGCCGTGTCACCGTGGCAGCGCTGTCTTGCATGCCGAGACTGTGGGCCTCGGCCTCGGTGCATATTCCGGCAGTGCGCTAACCATGCCGGCGCGCAGGTTGCCTTGGAGGCATAGGGACCCCGTTGCGGGCCTCAAACCCGCTCCTCCCAGAACAGTGACGCCTCCGGATTGCGAACCACGGTGGGCCAGCACAGTGTCCCTCGGCCAGCTGATTTGGGCTTAGTATTTGAGTAACCGTATTTGCCCATGAAACAGAATGTCAGTTGTCTTGGAGGGTCCAGTGGAACACGCGCTGGGTTTGCATCTACCTTATGTAATGCTCAAGTTGTCAGGGAGAAGTTCTACATTGCGAAGCTAGGGAGCATCGAGCGGTAAGGGAACGATGTCGAATGACCTTTGGTTACAACACTGTTACTGACCGGTGGTGTGGGAACGATAGTCGCCATCGCCTGCTACTGTCACCAACTCAACCAACACATTTGTCCTCATCCCCACATCACAACACTTTCACTTGACGCTAAACGTTCTGCAGGCTTGCAAATTGGCATGCTTGAGTTTCTGTAAGTCCCACACCCATTGTTACCAGGGATAACGGCCTCAGATGGGACGGAAGCCAGGCGAGGTTGGGATTTCGGAACAACAGTGGTAACGGTCCAGGTCGAATAGTACCTTTTCACAGGTCCCTAAGCCTGTGTTTGGTGCCTTTTCCCGCGGCAACATCGCAGACCAGGGTGCTGAAAGCGAATCGGACCAGGCCTGCCCTGACACTATTAGCGCTTTGCATCCAGATTGCCACTGGTTCCCCATGCCTTCTGGCAGGTTGTCCAAAGGAAAACAGCGAGCATCGGAATGGGCGCCTTACGACCACCCCTCTTCTCTAATGGGTCATGAAACGTACGAGGAGCTTGTTCCGGGGCAGGGGGGCATCGATCCCAGGCTCCTACAAAATGACTTCGCTCCGGCACCTCCTGAACCTTTGGACTATCCGGCTGGGCCGACTGAGTACATGGCTCCGGCTGAGGCCCAGCACGATACACCAGCTCTAGTTCCATCCACACATGTTATAAGAAGCGCTCAGATTGACTACACCAACGACTACCACGACGCTCAGAATCAGTTTCACACGTCCCAGGTCGACAGCTTTGTGCCATCTTATCCTTCGAGTTCCGGCCACGAGTCTTAGTACTCCACGGCCCAACAGAACTCGAGTGTGCCTGCAACTTTGGATCTTGCAGTACAACAAGAAGCACAAACTGACCAAGACTTTCGACTTTTCTTCTCCGACCTTTCAGTTTCGAATCCACCTTTCTCCGCTTCTGGGACAGCTTCAACGATTCCTTCCACCACTCCTTACACCTACCAAACGTTCGACACCAACAACAGCCAACTCCCCTGCACAATCATTCCTACAGCAATGACGTCTCATGATATTGTACACACCAGTTACGAAGAACAGGGCTACTCAGTGGACCCCAGTCTTTACCAACTTGAAGACACCTCTTACTACACGGCTGGCGAAGCTTCTACTTCCTATGCACAGCCCTACTCACAAGAACCCGACACCACCGAAGCCTCGCCGACCAGCTCTGAGCCCAATAAATGTCCTGTTTGTGGAAAGTCCTACAGGCGGAAATGTGATCTTGAGTTCGTCCACCCTGCATCACGCATCCTCTGAGTCTTCTTTAGCTGACACCCCACCCACAAACAGCAAGCATATGAACAATCACACCAAACGCCGCCAGTGCCCTTTCCGCGACTGTGAAGGTGGTGGAGCCGAGACTAAAGACCTCAATCGACACCTGTGGACTCACCATCCCGAATATGCCTCTGCAGAGAACATCCCCAAGGACGAGGAGTGGTGCGGCTTCCAAGGGTGCGGGTATCATGGACGTCGGGACAATGTGAAGAGACATAGGGACAACCATAACCACTGGCCTTCGGCGTAAGAGAACACAGTTGTGGTTGGGGTCATTGGATACAATATTGGGTTCTCAATGGTTTTGCACCAAGTCATGACTTTCTGGGCATCATTCTGCTTCTTTGAAGATTGTTATGTTGGTTTTCCTCTTGTTTCTTTTTGATGAAGGCTTGTTACGACTCATGAGGACACGATGATATCTCTACCCCTGTTTTAGCTTTGGCTTTTATGTCTCCACTCTTTCTTTGGGACCATTCTTGGAGTCCATTCTTGCCCACTTCTCATGTTTTTGAGCTATTCTTGGTTGTTTTTTGAGCTTGGACGAAGACCAGGGCCTTTCTTTAGACAGATATTTCCTACAATGCAACAACCCCCTCTTTGCACTTTGGATTTGGCTTTTGCAAAGGAAGAGAAAACTCAGTATCCGCAAACACTGGCTGGGGTCTACATTCACCCAACTAGCGATATAGGGCTGACACCAAGCAAGAACTGTGCTGCCTTGTGGCCAAGAAACATCACCGCCAGTCGTTGAGGGCTAACGAACCCGCACACTGCAGTCGACTGCACCTTTTGCACAGGTGTACGATTGGGTGCTCTGGAATGGTCGCTGGGCAAGTCTTTCACGAGACGAAGTGGAATGTTATCATTAGGGGAAGGGGGGGTAACTGCTGAGTGGTGGAGTTGGAGGAAACATACATCATCGTCAGGCTCTACAGTAAGAAGGTCTCCAGACGGCGCATGGAAATAACAAACACACTTTGAGTGTATCTCTAGACAAACTGACAAGACAACTTGAAGAATCCTTCCCTCTGACGTAAATCTGGGTCATAACATCATCACAAAATGCCAACTTAAACAAGAAACCAAAACAAGCAGCAACCCATGCTTGTATATTCCCAATCTTTGGAACAAAACACCCTATCAACGACGGCCGTGAACAAGCATATGTCGCTTCATGTTGTCCGCCCTCTGAGTCCGTCCGCAGATCTCGCACCTCTTCTTGTGCCTTTGGACCCTCTTATCAGCACGAACATCAGCACGGTCACCATGGCTCTTAAGTTTGTGGCGATCCAGATCCTTCTGCTCTGCAAATCCTTTGCCACAGATGTTGCACTCTGTTGGCCTGCGGTGATTTTTTTGATGCTTTCTCAGCTCACCGGGCAGATTGAACACTTTTGATCCTTTGCACCCAAGATAGAGACAGTAGAACTTCCCGTCAATGATTGTGTACGGAACTTCAGATTTGGCCGGGTTGGTTTGGCTGGGTGGCTCGGTCATCGAGGCGGGGAGGGGATAGATGATAAGATCACGTGCGTTTGCAGCAGGGAAAAGGTCGTTTAGGGTAGGCAGCACATTTATATGGTGTGTGAAATTTGCCGACAGGGTGTCGTTGACGGGGTCGTTGAAGGAAAACAGGAGGTCGTCGGGTAATGTTGAATCGGAACCATATTCTGACTCATCTGGTGTCAAGATGGTTGAATTGCTGGATATCTCGGATGATTGAGACGAAGAGCAAGGAAATCCGAACTCATTGTCGGGTGGCGTATGAAATGAGACCACGGCGATTTCTGGAGTGGAAACGCTAGCTGAATATCCGTGTGGCGAGCTCTACGAGCTCAGTACTGGGACTTCAGTGCGCATCTCCGCTACAGAATGCGGAAAGTGGGCCAAGGGGTCAAAAGAGCCCCCATCGTAAGTGATTTGGTGGTTGGTAGTTGCAACTTGTAGGCCTCGTTGCATCATCAGAAGCGATGGGTTCACCGTTACACCTTCGTCAACGTTTTGGGAGAAGGTGTATGGCTCCATCGCCATCGCCTGTGAGCCAAGTCCAACCCCTTGCCCTTGAAGGGGAAGGTCAACAATCCAAGGATGCTCCTCATTTTGTTCTGTGAAAGCATCTGATTCGGAAACCCAGTTTGGGGACTGGTAACTGTATACGCGCAACCCCTGTGATTAGCAACTTGACGCTCCTTGGTGAGACAGAGGTGGTACTCACTGGTGGTTAGACATCACCGGCGATACAGGAAACGCCTGGAGAGGTACCAAAACAGCAGCCCGTGGTCGTATCAGACTCGGATGAATGTATAGGTACCCTGTCAATGAAGGTGGAACGAGCTATGTATGTGGTGTGCAGCTCGGGAGCTGCAAAGAGATGGTGGAGATGGAGGAGCACACGATCCCAGCAGCAGCGCAGAAGAATGCCAGCTCAAATACCGACCAAGCTCTTTCCGTTTGCTAATCCTCCGCTTCACAGATTGGAAACGGCAGGAAACCTTCCCCGTCGTCTGCCGCCAGATTTGTTTGCAGTTTCAGTTGTGAGGTCCAAGGCACCCAATGGATCCAAACAACGTCACACAGATCCCACAAATGAGGATGTCGCACGCGGGCCGCGAGAGGGAGGGTTACATCGAGGTAGGCCTACTGCATTAGTGCCGCCTACCGCAGCTCTTTACGTTGCATTCAAACCAATCAATCATCTCTGCCATGCCGCGTCGGTCCATATTGGAACCCTCCGGGTTGTACGATGTCAGTGGGGCTTGAAAATACACAGCCTATCTTGTTTGCTACCTACGTGGTCGTCCTGGACCACTGAATAAAGCAGTGATCGAATGGCAAAGTGTGGATTTGTTCAGATGTTTGGCATGTCGGTCTTCAACTAAAATATACATCAAGTAAGTGCTAAATCTCTACCCTCGGCAATTTTCAGAGTTGAATCTCACCCGTCGACTTCACAGCTACGAACGTACTGAGTAGCTACTTGGCTGCTATTCTTTTAGTAGATTCAAACATCATGAGTTCAGAGGAACAAACAGCCATCACATTGCCACCCAGCATGCGTAAACGATTTTACGAGGCCCTCATGATTATTTGCAGCATGACTCACATTTTTTCAAGAACAGAAAACGGCACCAGGTCCCCGAGTCTTGAGCTCGAGGGGGTTGCTGACAAGAACTCACAAGGAACCTTTTTCTGTTTCGTGAACAAGCTTAGCCAGGTGTGCGACAGTGAGAGAGGGGGTGATACCGTCACCGCCTTTTCGGTCTTGCAACCAGACATCATCGAGTATCGCTTCACTTCAAACAGCAGAACGGAAATAAGTTTCCAGACAACAACCCGATTTGTGACAAAGCTTCTGAATACCCTTGGAGGAATTTCAGGCCCCGAGCTCCAGGAGGCGCGACGCAATGGAGAGGACTCCCTTCTGTTCTTGACTCTGATGCAACAAATACTCGAGTTCAACCGTCCCCGCATTACAAAGTTTCACATCGACTACCAAATGGCCAGACACCTCGAATTCTGCGCCAATGCCTGCACGGATGCAGAGGTAGCGACTCTTCTAAGAGCACTCAAGACTTTGGCTGATGCTTCTCTCGAGCCACTCTTATCTGATTGCGAATGTGGGTATCATCAGGTCTTGGAGGAAGCTACACGCTTCATAACGTCACAAGACCCTAACTGACCCCGTTCCAGTTGCCATTAAATGCCAGCTTCTTCTCCGTACCATCAGCAGTATTTTCCGGAATCCCCACGTTAAGGAATACCTCCGGGAACGTACCCGCGAGGATCGAGAAAAGGCCAACAAGACACCCTGGACTGAAGTCTACCACTCTCTTGGCCGCTTGCAATCTTACACAATCGCCGTCGCAATTTTCATCACCGCACGCCAGCGCTGGCCCGAACTCTTCGACCCTGGATTTAAAGTGACCCACGTCCCCTCCAGCACACCCGCTCCTTCTCCCTCAATCAGAGGCTCTCCGGAACGTATCCTCTCACGGCTGACCACAAAGGAGGCCGTTCTCAAAGCTTTCAAAGAGGGCACCACCGACGCAGCCGGCCACCAGTCCCACCTCACTGATCTGACCAAAAAGCTCGAAAGCACCATCCGATCCAAGTGCAAGAAATTCCACCCCATCGTTCACGCCGAAGTTCACCTTGCCGATCATATCCTCCGCGAGTTACGCACAAACAACTCAGGACTTCGTTTCTACAACGAAGCCGCCTTCGGTCGGTACATTGGCACCTCTAAGCCAACTTGTCACCTCTGCCACTCGTACTTTGCCTGTCCATTTCTCTCTTCAACAGGTCGCATTCAAGTCCGTTCCAGTTCCCACAACTACTACCATAACTGGCGGGTTCCACACGTATATCCGGAGGACGGCGCCGAGGCAGAAAAGATGAGGAATAAGGTGATGGGGTGGATGATTGAGGATGTGAAGGCGGAGGCGGAAAGGACGGTGGTGGAGAGGTTTGCGGTGAGGAAGGGGCATGATAGTAACACGTACCCTTCCATGCCGGATACAGATTCGGTTGCTTCTATGCAGGTTGGTTATGGGGGGAGCCAGTCTGGTGCTGATGAATCTGTGAGAAGGCTGGGCGCGATGGATGATATAATTGCTAGTTTTGGGGGGATGAGGGTGAGTGTTGAGGAGTAGAGTGTGCAGCCCCTTCACCTTCGTCATTTTCACACTCATTTTCAGAGCGTATCAGGTGTTTTCCAGTCCGCACTGCGGCATGTGTATTCCAATCTAAGCAGCATCAAGCCAGCTACATCAATTCTAAACAGTAACCTAACGCCATGCTACACTTAACACCGTCCAATGCAAACGCCCAACTCCTCAGAAAGACACGGTCAATACCGCTTAAGCTTGGGTGCTGGCGCAATCTCCACCTCCCAAGCCACCGCTGCACAGACGGGTGCAGCCAATACCAAGATCAGCAGTCTTGATGCACTCATCATTCTTGACGCGCATGATGAGGTCGCCCTTGCAGTTGGGGCCCTCGCTGTCCTGGTAGGCGAACCAGGTATCGGAGAAGGAGTCAGTCCTGATGGACTTGATGTCGGAGGGGATGGGGGCATCACCGGTTGAGAAACCGTTGAAGACCTTCTTGTCGACTTCGGTGCCGCTATGCAAATTTAGTTAGTGGAAATCCATCTGGGGAAGAGCATGGAGAACGTACCAGTTCTCGTCGCTGAACATCTTTGTGGCGGCCCCAAAGGCAGTGCTGGCGCAGCCGGCGATGAGGATGATGGTGGTGGTGGCACGCATTTTGGATGATTGATTGGGAAGGGTTTGAAGATGTGGTTTGTTGTTGAGTTGTGAATTGGTTGTGTTGTGATTGTATTGCTGTTGTCTTGCTGTTTGTTCAGAACTTCTTGCATCGTGGAAAGGAACAGGTCTTTTTATGTCTTCGTGACGATAGCGCTATGTTATTTTCTGAAGCCTGTTATCTCCATTCGAAACAGTACGGCCGACTATACGCCATGGCTACATGGCTGTAGTCATTTCCCTCCCAGGTCTCTTGCTTTGTTTCCTCTAGGCGAAGTGTATCTCGGATTTCTCGGGTCATGACCTGTGCACCGTATGGCTGGATCCAATTGTGAACTTAACACTCACCATGGAGCACCTCAGCACTACCTTAAGCTCGTTATCATTCGTTTCATCGGTTGTACAGGCCTAGGCTTCCTTGCTTGGCTACATGAATCTGGCTGGTGCCAGTTATGGACCCAAAACTTGTAACGGATATGTCAGGATATCTCTCGTGGCCGTTGTCATGTTTCACAGCCTATATTTGGATTTTTCCACTGCCAGGCGATGTCGGACTTGGTATCTCGCACTCAGAATCGTCTGGAGTTGTGAAGGAGCCTGATATGCCGCGGCCCGCAATGGACCAGATGAGGCGGCCAGATGTCACGGCCACCCACGCGGTTCTCGTCGATCATATATCACTCGATACCTGATATTATTAACATCGTCGTGACGTTGGAGCTCGTTGGATGTTGACTCAATTCTCGATACATCCTGGGTGGGTGGTCCGTGCTTATCACCCCTCTGAAGCCCCTGAGCCCCTGAGCTCTTAGGCTTGGCAAATTAAAGAAGAGCATAGTTGGGCAGTGAGAAAAGCCAACAGAGATGGTTGAACTCAATTCCCGAACAATTTTGGTACCATCTACGATAGTCAACATTGCGATTTCAATGACATCCTCCCAGAAACGACAATTCGACAGTCGGCCAGAGACTTGCTCGAATCTAGCTTAGCCGGGGAGCAGTTATCACTGCGGGCACCAATGAAACATGGTGCGATACTCACCAATCACAGCATTGCGCTCCGATAAGCTGAACCCAGGTGCATTCAAGTGCCAACAACGCGAATTTTGGAGGTTGGTTGAGAACCCCCACAGCCACATCTTGCGAATTTCATTCCACATCAATGCCTAGTCAAGGCACCTACTCAGTATCATGGATTCCCCAGAGGGCGAGTTTGACGGCAACGATTTTGCCAACAACCTCTTCAGCGATCTCGCCCCCCTCCTGACGCTTTTCGGGGAGCAAGTCACAAAACAGTTCCTGTCCATGAGTGTGGGATGGGCCGACAACGTACTCTTGGCAATGGGCCCCCTGGGTATCTTGACCATTGTTGTGAGCGCCATTCGTGTAGCGGGTGAGACCGTACCAAACCTCAAGGCGCTCATTGGCAGAGCAAGGGAGGACAGGGCCAGCGTTGAAGTTGAGTTACTCTCTTCAACATCTAGGGAGGTTTGCGAAACTGTGGACAGGAACCCAAATCGTTCGAGTACGCGGACAACCCCTCATATCTCAGCCGTTCATCATGACCGACACGGGTAACGTCTATCCCCTGTGGAATGATGTGGCGCAGGGGACTTTTGAGGTCAACTTCATGGCGCAAGACTGGGATCGCGAAACCAGCTTGTTGGCAAAAGTGCCGCCCAACCTTGGCTTGAATATTAGCGGTGCTATCCCTTCGAACCGTGAAATGTGGATGTGGGCTGCTCTGGGAACTGTCCTGCAACTAGCCTCGCTGGTTGTGAGCGGGACTGTCACTTATCGTTGGAACTTGGCCCAGGTCGAAGTTCCCACCACCACATACGGATATCCCTGCTATCTTCTGGGCACTCTGCTTTTGACTCTCGGGGTTCTCCTGTGCGGACATATAGTTGAGACTGTCAGTAAAGAAAGGACTTTCAGATGTAAGGCAAAAATGCGAAAGAGAGTGCGCATTTTTCGCATTCAACTGGCCGCCACCGTAAACGACCAGCACTTTGACAGTTATCTTATCTTCAACTCCCCCGAGAATCCTGACGTCTATGCACCATTCTATCAGGGCATGAAGAAGAATACTCGGTATGTTCATTACCCTCCAGCCCGAATACCGCTGTTTTCTAACATCAATATTTGCGAGATATTATGCAATTGCAGGATCAGCGCTGTCATTCATGGGCTTTGTCACACAATAACGTACTTTATAAGCGAGTCGGTCATATAAGTGGGCCGGTCACTTTTCGACCGCGACGCGTCCTCCTACACTCAATATCAACTTTCTCTACAACCCAACATGCCTCCTACCTTAAATGAAGCCAGGATAATCTTAGCTCTTAAAGCTATTTAAAAGACTCCGAAATTAAGCCTCCGGGCCGCAGTAAAGCTATATAATATACCATTCTCAACCCTCCGTAACCGACGCGCCGGCCGGCCTACACGACGCGATACTACGCCCAAATCGAAGAATCTCACTTAATCCGAAGAGGATACTATTATTTAATGTATTATTAAGCTATATACGAGAGCTTTTCCACCAAGATTACGTAGTATAGAAAATATAGTTAATTAATTATTACGTATATACGACGCGCCTTTTATTAGTAAGCTCTAGGTATATAACTTTATTAAACGTTAGCTATAGTTCTATACGCGTTTTACGCGTAAATAAAATTATTAAAGAGCTAAGTACGAAGATTTAAAGGTTATAACCGAGTAGTTTACGTTAGTACGAAATATTAAAACTAAGTACGGTATTATAAATAATAATATTTATAATTTTAACGAAATTAGGTTTATAATAAATATTATTTTTATAAGTATAGTAATTACGACATCGGACGGTTTTAATAAAGTAAAATTAATTTAATTTAATAACCGTAAATAAATAACGGTAATTTAAAGAATTAATACTTTTAATTAAACTATTTTTCTTTTTATTATTTTAACCGTATAATACTATTTTATTAATTAATATACTAAATATAATTTATAATTTATTTAATATATTATAATTATTAATAATAATTAAATTATTAATTTAAAAAATAAAATTAAATTAAGTATTTCGATTATTATATAGCGTCCTATAAAAAGGATAAATATCGATTATTAATCTTAAACGGTTACGAAAGTTATTATTTAACCGAATTCGAATATTATTATTAATAAACTAACGTTATTACGCTTTATATACCTCTATACTCTTCCTACCTTCTCTAATTACTCGATATTAATTACTTTAGGCCGTTAAAATAAGTATACGGTCGTTAAATTAAGGACCTAATATATATATAGATATTAATTATATAAGTAAGCTCGAGTTCCTTTATACCTTCCGCGAGGCTTTTTTTGCCTTTATAATAAAGAAAAATATATAGGGTAGCTTTGCGGGTGCTAGCCTTATACCGTACGATCTAAAGAAGGTAATTTCTAAATTAGATATAAAGCTTCGTACGTTAATATCTTTAAATTTACGGCCCGGTACTATATAACTTTGGGTCTCTTAGATACTATATAACCCTCGAGAAACTAACTTATAATTAACGTTTATTAAGACTCGCATTACTAACTATTAAAATAACGTCCCGACTTTAATAATAATTATAATAAACTAACTTACTAAAAGTATAACGGTTATAATATATTAAGTGGCCCTCTTACAGGTAGAGGTCTCTTCGCTCCGTAAGGCTAATAAGGCACTAAGCAAACGCCGGAGAGTTAAAAAAATACGCGTGAGACTTGGAGGGTCACTTACTGTACAAGAAGCACAAGATCTACTGGATTAGAAAGCCGTGGATGGGGAGATATGACGAACCCCTGTACAGAACCTCTGAAAGGGATACGGGTTGAAGGTAACTTCTGACAATTGGTCCGGTGCAGCTAAACAGTGCACAACAAGATATCTCGATGTAAACACAAGATGCCGTGAATACAAGCTTAAATTGCATACTGCGGAACTGTCTATCTACACCAGCCAGTTCCTCCGTATATATAGACTTTAGGACCGTAAGGTGCTTACCCTGCTATAGCCCCGATCACTCCTAGCACATTGCATCCTGCATTGTGCTCGCCGTGCTATGCCTCTGATCATCCTTAGCATCTTGCATCCTGCAGACTGCTCGTGAGCCTTGGCGCCATAGCACCTTTGTCCAGGCCTGATTGGCTTGTTCCCTGACTTCCTTAATGATTGGCTAGGGACGTCCTGCGCCCCACATGTGGCGCGACCTGCCGTTAGGTTAACTGTGACAGGAGAGAGTATAAGAAACGCAGCCGGATAGTAGTAGTACAGGGGGGGGCTCGTACGAAGGTTCGGTGCTGTGGTGTGTGCGGCAAGCCTGGCCATAATGCACGCACTTACCAGGAGGCTGCAGAATCATCTGATTCAGCTGTTTCTGATATAATTATAGTTAGTTCCTAATGTTGGTGTGTTACAATTGAGGGTAATTATAGTAGGGTAGTGAAAAGTGGCTCACTCGCTTATATGGCTCACTCGCTTATAATGTACGTTAATGTACGTTACTTTTTGCCGCCCGTTTTATTTTTAAGTTTTATTTTCTGCCGGCGCTTATGCGCCTAAGGTGTATTGGAAGACGGAGGGGAGTGAATGTAGAAGATAGAAAAAGAAATAGTCCTTCACTTTTACTTGTCCCGAATTCTTCGCAATTCAAAGGCCATTCTATTGGTATGCCCTTTAAGCACTATAAACTAACCGGGAGGAGCAGCTCAAACATGGATCCTTGGTCAGGAAAGCTTTAGCTACGCTCTCGCCCACGCTAATATATTCCCTCCATTATACCCACCTCATCAGTTTTGTATTTGTTTTTCTTCTTGATCCAGGTCACGGTATTATATAGGTTAAAGAAGCCGTTGATCTTTTCCGGGGTAGCTCCGTTAATGCGGAAGTAGTCGATCTCTTGCCTAGTTTAGTTTTAATCTCTGGGCGCCTTCGAATAAAGTGGGATACCCAGTGTTTTCCGGGCTTCTTTTCTCCCTAGCGCTCCAGTATATGGGTAGCTAGAGCAAATGGGGGCCAACGGACTGGTCGTTGGGTCTTCTATTAGGGCTCAAAGTCTGTGTACGTCAAGGAGAATGGAAAACGAATCTGGACCACTATACTTAAGTGTATCTCACAGGATGGCCGATGTCTCACGCCCTACGTCATTTTTAAGGGCAAGAAGGTTCAAAAGCAGTGGTTTAACGAAGACTACCGTGAACACTGGTATATTGATGCCACAGAGGAAGGCTGGACTAGCAATGACATTGCTCTTATTTGGTTAACGAAAGTCTTTATCCCTGAAACCTAACCTGACGATGATTCCGGACCACGGCTTCTTAATTACGACGGTCACGGTAGCCACTATACCGACGACTTCATAATTAAATGCTTCTGGAATAATATCTACCTTCTTTTCTTACCTCCCCACATAACGTATATTATAAGCGAGTCGTATATATAAGCGAGTCGTATAGTTTCTACCACGACGCGTCCTCCTTACACCTAATATTAATTTTTTCTATAACCTAACATGCCTCCTACTTTAAAGGAAGCCAGGATACTTTTAGCCCTTAAGGCTCTCCAAAAGGACGAAAAATTAAGCCTCCGAGCTATAGCTAAGCTTTATAACGTACCACCTATAACTCTCTCTAACTGACGCGCCGGCCGGCCTATACGACACGATACTACGCCCAGATCGAAGAAGCTTATTTAATCCGAAGAAGAGGCTATTATTTATTATATTATTAAGTTATTTACGCGAGCTTTTTTATTAAAGTTACGTAATATAAAAAATATAATTAATTAATTATTACGCGTACGCGACGCGCTTCCTATTAATAAACTTTAAATATATAATTTCGTTAAACGCTAGCTATAGCTCCGTATATGTTTTACACGTAAATATAATTATTAGTAAATTAAATATAAAAATCCGAAAGTTATTACCGAATAATTTATATTTATATAAAATATTAAAGTTAAATATAGTATTATAAATAATAATATTTATAATTTCGACGAAATTAGGTTTATAATAAATATTATTTTTATAAATATAATAATTATAACCTTTAAACGGTTTTAATAAAGTAAAATTAATTTAATTTAATAATTATAAATAAATAATAATAATTTAGAAAGTTAATATTTTTAATTAAATTATCCTGCCCTTTATTATTTTAATTATATAATATTATTTTATTAATTAATATACCGAGTATAATTTATTATTTATTTAAAATATTATAATTATCGATAATAATTAAATTATTAATCCGGTAAGTTTAAATTAAATTAAATATTTTAATTATTATATAACGTTTTATATAAAAGGTAAATATTAATTATTAATTTTTAATAATTATAAAAATTATTATTTAATTAAATTCGAATATTATTATTAATAAAATAATATTATTACGCTCTATATACCTCTATATTCCTTTTACTTCCTTTAATAACTTAATATTAATTATTTTAAACTACTAAAATAAATATACGGCCATTAAATCGAGGGCTTAATATATATATATATTAATTATATAAATAAATTTAAATTCTTTTATATTTTTCGTAAAACTTTTTTTATTTTTATAACGGAAAAAAATATATAGAGTAGCTTTATAGGTACTAACTTTATATTATATAATCTAAAAAAAGTATTTTTTAAATTAAATATATAGTTTTATACGTTAATACCTTTATTTTTAAGGCCGGGTATAATATTTCTTTAAGTATTTTAAATACTATAAAACCCCCGAAAAATTAATTTATATTTAATATTTATTAAAACTTATATTATTAATTATTAAAATAATTCCCCGACTTTAATATTAAGTATTATAAATTAATTTACTAAAAGTATAATAATTATAATATACTAAATAGCCCTCTTATAAGTAAAGGTCTCTTCGCTCCGTAAGGCTAATAAGGTATTAAGTAAGTACCGGAAAGCTAAAAAAATACGTATACGGCTCGGAGGATTACTTACTATGCAAGATATATAGGATCTATTAGACTAGAAGGCCGTGGGTGGGGAGGTAGTGGAAGAAATATAGCCGGATGGCGGTAGTGTAGGGGGGGCTTATACGACGGTTCGGTGCTGTAGTATGTGCGGCAAGCCTAGCCATAACGCGCGCACTTATTAGGAGGCTGGGGAATTATCTAATTCAGCCGTTTTTGATGTAATTGTAGTTGCTTCCTAATGTTGTTGCGGTATAATTAAGGATAGTTGTTGTAGGGTGGTGGAGACTGTACGACTCACTTATATGTACGACTCGCTTATAATATACGTTATAAGTTTTTCACTCAGCCTACACGGCACGGTTTTCCTATATAAATAGCACCAAAAGTCCCGGCGCACTCGTTACAAAAAAGGGTAAAACGGTGTAAGAAAAATAAAAATATATTAATCTATTAGCCAGCAAAAGCAAGGCAAGTCTCGCGGTAGTAAACTTTTAAGTCATAGACTGTACAAAACACGAATACCGTTCTCTATCAGATTATCCACCATGTGATGGGGTTGCCCTCGAACTCCTGTCCATCTGCTTAAAAACGTACCTCGCCTCGCGCCCGGCAATCTCCGTTAAGTACGAATTCGGTGTTTCGAACGGTTTATTTCTAGGGGCCCAAAGAGTTGCGCGTCTGCCTCACTATCACCACGCTTCCTCTTCGGTTTTGAGAGCCTGGAAACCGCTCGAGGCTTGGGAGGTGGGGAGAGGTGGGCTCGGTCGAAGTCGATGATCATTATGCGACCACGCTCGGCGTTCCAGAGATAATTGGCCCTATTTTCATCCCCATGAACAACACCCTCGTTCCAGATAGCCGTCAATGACTCCCTCTTCAGCGTCTCGGCGTCGTCCATGCTAGCGCTTGGCGTCTGGCCCGCCCACGACATAAGCATCATATGAACAACAAACTCAAGCCCCGGGAGAATGTAGCCACGATCGAGGCGCACGAGGCCCAGATACACCGGTACCACGTCGCCCTGAAGATGATCAAGCTGTGCGTAGACCCGGCCTTCGTGCTCCAAACGACTGAGGCGGTCCTCCAGTGTTCCTTTACCAACAAATGTGTAGCCGTATGGAAGAAGCTCCAGCTTAAAAAGCCAGCCCATCGCTCCTCTCTTGCCCCAGAAGTCCACCATCCGGCATCCCTTGTAGGGACTCAAGAGAAGCTGCTGCTCCACCATATCGGTAAAACGATGGGCATTGACGGGATGCCGAGAGGAGCCATCGAAGCGATGTAATGAGACATTGGGGCACTTCTCGTCCAGGTCTTTCCCTCTCTTGAGACCTAATAGGCACGCTTGTGTGCAATATTGCTTGGTGGGCCCCGAGTCAGCCATGGCGATATCCCCGTCCTCGCCACCACTCGACGGACCGCGCTTCCGCTTGTTAGCCGCTAGCCTTAAGCGAGATGCGCCGGGTTCCGAATGGTCCTCTTCGTCGTCATGCTCGTTGCTTTGGGGGAGTACCGCTGCCGGTTTGCAAGACGACTGAGACCGTAAGGCTACATTCCGACCGGTCGGTTCCGCTTTGGACGTATACTCTGAGATGTCCGTGTTCTGCGACGACGGCGCCGACGATAACTCGGCGGGCTCGAGCCCAAGATAGGCCACATCCGCGTACGACTCCGACCATGTTTTTTAGTGTCGCCTTGGCTATAGACAGTGCTGTTTCGAGAGATTGTCCCTCGAGAGCTTCGGACTGAAAGCTGGATAGGCAGAAGCTGATTAGTTGAGCCACTGCGGTGTGGGATAGCCGGTCGGTCCAGTCGTTGGTCGGCTCGCCCACATCGTCGGCCGGCAGGCACGGATGACAGTACAGCGTTTGCCAATCATCTCTGTCAACGTAGAGGAGTAGCAAGCACCGGCCCGCAGCAACATAACCATATGATACCCCGTAGGTGATCATGTAGTCGAAGACTTGCGTCAGTGCCATGGCGATTAATGCCTCGGCCTGCTCCCGGCGCTGCACCTCCTCGTCGCGGCTGAGCTTGTCGTCGTTGATGCGTGCGACAACCTCGTGGAACAGGTGTTCCTTCGCTGTAGCCGACCGAATATACTCGATAGCGACTTTATGGGCTGCCTTGTAGTCGTATATAAAGGCGTGGGTCTGGCCTCCGCCGGGTTGCATCCGTATACCGACTCCGTCAGGCTGTCTGTTCGAGCATATATATTTCCTCTTGGACGTAGGGCGCTTATTCGGCCCGGCTTGTTGGCGTCGCTCCAAACTCCCATCGCTGGTGTTGTCATCTGCACCGCTACTCCCGTCATCTTTTTGTGTGAGCTCGCGGAGGTTAGCGCTGAACCGAAACTCGGGGCATATCGATGCTTTGCCCGCCTCCTTATGCGTTGCAAGAACCTTGAGGATCCCCTGCACTGGGCGCTCGACTGCATCTACCTCAAAACGGTCGATCGCTTTCTCGTTACCCGCTAGATGATCCGAGATAATCGTCCCAAGGCTCTTAGTCGTGTTGGCTGGTTCGAAGAGCTGCCTTTGACCACAGATACTCTGCACAAGATCGAAATAATGTGGGTGGAGAACGTTGGCAAAGTAGGTCCAAGGACGAAGTCGCTTGGGGTAGTACTTGCCCACGACTTTCGTATAGCCCGTAGAATACCTCGATGTGTTGGTAAGTCGTAGAGCGTTGTAGAGATGCCTGTGGCAGTTGTGCAGGTATTCGAGGAACGTGGTGTTTCGATGCTCCAGCTGAAGCCGCTCCCTCTCGCATCGCTCTTGCGCCTCTCGTGCCTTGGCTTCCTCCTCTCGTGCCTTGGCTTCCTCCGCTCGTGCCTTGGCTTCCTCCGCTCGTGCCTTGGCTTCCTCCGCTCGTGCCTTGGCTTCCTCCTCTCGTGCCTTGGCTTCCTCCAGCTCACGAAGGAGCTGTGCAATCCTGTCTTTGTCGGACATTGCGTTCGCTAGACTCGGCTGCTTAGGGCTGGAAGGGATATCGTGGTGGTGTATGGCGGCGATTGGCTGGCGAGAGCTTCCGTCGGTCTGATGGCTCGAGGTCTATATTATATGTCTGTCAGCCATCAGCGAAGCCTTGATGTGTCAGTCTCATCAGATAACGAGAAGTACCTCGATCTTATACAGAGCCTAGATATCGAGTTAATATGTGCGGGGTAAATGTGGTGGTCGCGTCGAGGGGGAGAGGAGATGGGGTCTGGTTTATGTAGATATGCGGAAGTCAAGCGCGAGGTTAAGCAGTAGTCCTGCCACGCCTGTTACGGCTGGCAGGTTCTCTGAGGCAAAGGACTACAGAGAAGAAAGAAGGAAAGGCTCCGCCAAGCCAGAGCTTGCAGAGCTTCGTGGTGCAAGCTGGTGGGGCGCTTGATAAGATAAGGTCCTCGAATGTGGAGCCACGCTGGAAGTGGGGTGCCAACGCTATACCCCCCCAAAAAAAACCCTCGCTTCCTAATACCAATAAAAAAGCGAGCTTTACAAAAAGAAATTGCTGCTTCTAAGACTGGAATTCGTGCTGGACTGCATTACTTGCCTCGAAGTCTTGTCGAAAAGCCTTATTGACGAAGGCTTTTGTTGAAAATACCAACAGCCACGTATACATAGTATCATAGGTTAAAGCGCTTACAATCGGAGCTTGAGAAGCTGTAGGGTGGGAAATTTATTAATTCAGCTGCAGTGAAATGATGAGAAAAACACACAAAACAACCACAACACCACGAATATACCCTCAACAGGCTTCTGAATGAACATACCTGCGTGACAGTGAATCGATCGCAGGCCGCACTCCACGTAGGACAAAGAAAAAACGCTAACGTATTTTATAAGCGAGTCATGGGTATAAGCGAGCCGTGGGTTCCTTAGCGCGACGCATCCTCTCTCTCCTAAACATCATATTTTTCCATAACCCAACATGTCTCCCCCTTCAAAGGAAGCCAGAGTAATCTTAGCCCTTAAAGCTCTTCAAAACAACGAGGAATTGAAGCTTAAAGCCATAGCTAAGCTTTATAGCGCACCACTTTCAACACTCCGTAACCGACGCGCTAGTAAGCCTGTACGACGCGATATTACGCCTAAATCGCGCCGTTTTATAGATTCCGAAGAGAAGATTATTATTTAATATATTATGGAGCTAAATGTGTAAGCTTTTTTACTAAAATTATGTAGTGTAAAAGATATAGCTAACTAATTACTATGCGTACGCGACGCGCTTCCTATTAATAAGCTTTAAGTATATAACTTCGTTAAACGCTAATTATAACTCCGTACGCGTTTTACGCGGAGGTACGATTATTAAAAGGCTAAGTGTAAGGGTTTAAAGGTTATTAATAAGTGGTTCGCGCTTATATAGAATACTAAAGTTAAATATAGTATTATAAATAATAATATTTATAATTTCGATGAAACTAAATTTATAATATATATTATTTTCTCGGGTTATTACGGTTCTAGAAGACAGTGGGGCCACGAGGGACCAATCAGGACTAGACCGAGCGATCGAGCGGGGCTCACGGTCCGAGTGGACGGAACGGACTAATAAAATAGGGACCGGGGACCGCGGCGTGGCTCACGGTCCACGGTCTAGTATCGGCTAATTAAGAGTGGACCGAGGACCGTTTATAAGTTAACGGTCCACGGTCTTAAGGTCTATATATATGGAGGAACTAGCTAGTGTAGATAGATAGTTCCGCAGTATGGAATAATAAGTTACAATCGTGGTATTTTAGCTATTATAATTAAGATATCTTATTATATACTATTTAGCTACACCGAACTAATTATTAAAAGTTACCTTTAACTAATATCCTTTTTAGAGGTTCTGTATAGGGGTTCGTCACACTAAATCGAGGACTTAATATATATATATATTTATAATATAAATAAATTCGAGTTCCTTTTTACTTTTCGTAAAGCTTTTTTCGCTTTTATAATAGAGAAAAATATATAAGGTAGCTTTACGGGTATTAGCTTTATACTATATAATCTAAAGAAAATACTTTTTAAATTAAATATTAAGCTTCGTATATTAATATTCCCGACTTTATAGCTTAGTACTTATTACGGTTTATTATAACCCTAGGGTATATACGAGAATAACGATTAGTATAACGAACCCCTATACAGAACCTCTAAAAGGGATACGGGTTAAAGGTAACTTTTAATAATTAGTTCGGTATAGCTAAATAGTATATAATAAAATATTTTAATATAAATATAAAATACCGTAAATATAATTATAAATTATATATTATAAAACTATTTATCTATATTAGCTAGTTCCTCCGTATATATAGACCAGTTTATTATTATTATTATTAATAATAATATCGATTATTACTCGTCGTTTATCGAAAGCTAATAATAATCGTGATTATTACCTTTAGCACTAATAATAATCCGACTTCCCTACTTTTTTATTCTAGTAGTTAAAAGGTCGCGCCCCGCGCTCCCCGTTTATATTAGGTCCGTAATATAATATCCCTCCTCTAAATTAACGTCTCGTTAGCCTAATCTTATTAACTATATACGCTTTTCTCGTCTCCTATCACGGTTTAGAAAAAGCGGGGTCGCTCGGGCTAGTGAGAACGAGCGACGGATAAGTGGGGCCTGTGGAGCAGGGAATAACACGGACTAGGGGATCTAGGAGTTGGAAGCTAGATCCATGGGATCTAGGAAAGAATAAATAGATTTAAGTACGGAGGTACTTAGAGGTTAAGGTCTATATATACGGAGGAACTAGCTATTATAAATAGATAGTTCCGTGGTATATAATTAATAACTTATATTTACAGTCTTTTATATTTATATTGAAATATTTTATTATATACTATTTAGCTATACCGAACTAATTATTAAAAGTTACCTTTAACCCGTATCCCTCTTAGAGGTTCTGTATAGGGGTTCGTTATATATTATATACTTACTTTAACTCTATTACGGATAAGTTAAAAGCGTCTTTTTACTACTATAGCTTAACCCGAGAACGTTTAAATAAAAGGTGTCCCGCCTAGCTTAACTATCGAAAGACTTTCTACGGTAAACGCTAGGTCTAGAGTCACTACGGCTTAATAGCTTATCAATCGCGTTAAAGAGCTTAAGGCCGAAGCCTAGTAGATTAGCGAGTAGGTTTTTACTCTCTTAGCGGCTAGGCCTACGTACGTAATTAAGCTTCCGGTACTAAAGTACTATGGAGGCGGAAAGTTAAAGCTTAAAGGTTTTTTAATTTAGTTTAAAACTTACTTTCGTTATTACCCGGAATAATTTGATATAGAGAAGTCGAAAGTAATATACGTAGCTACCCGGCTTAAAAATAAAACTTTTATTTAATTCGAATTTATTTTTAACGATTATTACGAAGTGATAGTAAAGGATTAGGAGGAGATTATTATTTAGTATTGTTAATGTGTAGGTACTACTAAGTGCCCTACTTACTGCCCTACAAATTGATATTACAGTGGGCAGTACTGCTATAAGCAGTAATGGAACTTCCCGGCTTTGATCCCTTTAGAATATTCTTTACAAGGGACCCTTGAAGGCTTACAGGGCTACTGTGGCCTGAGGCTTAGTCAATGGATACTAGAACCTTCCAAAGTGGCTATAGGCTTACGTAGTAAGTTGCTACAATGGTGTGATTTACAGGGCACCTTTGCTGCTGAAGGTTCTATAGATTTCCGTGAGTCTACACTAGACCCACCTAAGCCCACTAAATACCCAAAGTGGTATAGGGGCTTCCAGGGCCTACAGGACCCACAGTAGGCCTACGAAGGCCTATATATAGACCTCTCCTCTCTCCTGTAGAATAGTTCCTTTCTTTCTTTCCCTAAGGGCAAAAGCTTAAGGCTAAGGCCAAAGGCCAAGGCCAAGGGTAATAAAGGCAATTCTTATTCTTTATACCTCACTGTATTACAGTGCTTTACCTTCTTCGGCACTGCCGTCGTATCCTCTCCGCTTCCGCTTGCGCACTGCTGTATTTTACAGCAACCCTGTATAGGTTCTATATTATAGGCCTATCAGGGCTTACCAGCTAACAAACTATAATCCTTTTC